AAAACCGTGATACAAACCGAATCGTGAGTAAGTTGAACCATTCCACCCCTAATATATATATATATATATATATATATATATATATATATATATATATATATATATATATATATATATATATATATATATATATATATAGAGAGAGAGAGAGAGAAAAAAAGCTTTATTGCCCAGTAATAGGCTGAAGTCACATTTACAGCTTCATTTACCTCAGGAAGCATTTCAAACCAGACCTTTATACCTCAGTATTTTCCTTATGGCTCACAGCACAGATATCTATTTCCTTGTCAGTATGTAGGGAATCCATTTCCTCTAAATGAATCTACCAGCTGGGTTAAGAGACTATAAGCCGCAATTCTCAAAGGTAAATCCCTCTCAACACCGCCTGGGACGTTCTGAAACATGTCATCTCATTTCATTGAGATTTGTCTCTTTTGTTCTCCAGCCTCCCCTCCCCCTCCGGTGAAGGCGGTCAGTCACGGCGATGATGGATATATTCACTTACATTATCTTGTAAATGAGAGGATGAGCTCAGGTAGAAACAGACGTGCAGAGCTCAGCCCACCCCACTAACACACTATAAAGCCTTAGAAAACCCTGCGCGGACCAGCTCTGATAACAAGCCTTTCCTGTCACAAATGCAACCCACTCAAAATGGCCCCCTCTGCATTCTTAACACCCCCCTTCCCCTCCCAACGAATGGTTTACAATGTGCTCAGCCTATTAAATATCTTTATTCCGCCTGCTGCATTGAACAGATAAACGCAACGAGATCAATAACAGCACCAGGCAAAACAAATAAATAAAAGATGATGTGCACTAAGAGGGCTGGAACGGAATAACTCTCCTTTTGTTAGTAGTAGCTTTTAGCCTCCTCAGCCCACGCTACGTGAATTCATCCCTGGAATACTGAAGCGTTCAGATAAACATTTATCTCCATGCAGTTTTAGTACTACAGAGACACAAAGACTTCTAACATCTCCAAATCTGTGCTTAAAGCGATGACACACACACGCACAGGCTGCTATCCTCGCTGTGGTGTGAGAGTGTGTTTCTGCCACGCTCCAGGAGCTGTGTGTTCAGATATGGCTGCTGGGTAACTGCGAGGCTCGACCCCATCATCAACACACACGAGTGTTGCTTACGGATTTAGCAAGCTGAAGACAAGATGGTGAAGTCGCCCTTGTTTGTTAATGCATAGCATTATGTTTTTTAACATGCGGTATGGCCTATGTTTACGTCCCAGGAAGTGTGAATGAATCATGGATTCAGGATTCTATGACGACTCTTGAAATCTGTTTTCTGATAAACACTTTTTAACTTCCTGGTTGGATCTCCTTAGTACTGATTTTAGATTAGGGATGTAACAGTGTGAAAATTTCTTATCACGATTATAGTGACCAAAATGATCACGGTTATCAGTATTATCACGGCATTGTTAAAATGTGCTGGAAATGTTCAAAAAGTACTTAAACACAAATAATTTCACCAAGTTTTACATTTAAAATCAGCAAACAACAAATAAAATGAGTTTTTGTTTGCATAACTAAAACAGTAACATCAGCTGTTTCCCGTAACCTCCGAGGACAAAACCGCATTGCGCTTAAAACACTATTTTATTAGGTATTACATGGAGTGAAGACGAAAACAAAATGGCATCAAATCTTTTTCTGAAGACAGTCAGAATCTTCAGAGGTTCATTCTTATAATTAATTCATCCATATATTCATTTGTATAATTCCCTTAGCACTCTTTAAAACCTCCCAGCTTTTCCTCTGTTTTCACACAAAACTAAACGCACGTGAGACTGTTACTTAAATCTGTGTTTTATGCTTCAGGGCTCCAGACTCATTCTTCCCACTGGTCGCTCTTTTTATTTTTTGTGATTAATCAATGCATGCTGATGAACTTTTATCATAGTTTATAGTTATATGAAAACGAAAGTGGTTAACATTCAACCCCTTCTTTTTCATCAGTATTATTTGTGATTTAAATTTTGTGAATGGGAGTTCCTCCTTTGCTGTGTTATAAGCCAGGCTTCGGGTGCTTTCACTTTTGAATTCGCGATCTTGGTGTCACGTTTTACAAGAAAAGATAATTGTCTGATTTGCTTACATCTACACGTTTCACTTTTTAAGACTAAAACAAAATATGGATTCATTGTTATGCTTAATTAAAAAGCATAACAACAATAAAACAGTAAGATACAATGACAAACTAGCTTACAAAACATTTAGCAACAAGAACAAATAAGACGAGGCATGGCATACACCATATGCTGTATTATATACCGACTAATAAATTACAGAACGTTTAACAAACACTGAGGAATCAAATAAATAAAAAAGAGAGCCTCCATAGCATAATGTGAGGTAAACGGCAAAGATAACAAGCTTTTCAAAATGAAAACAAAAAGAAAAAAGTCAAACTAAACTTGCTGTCGGTGACAGTGCTTGCATGTTGGTATTCTTGTGGGGAAAAAAACATGTTCACCTTTGGTTTAAGAAGCGGTCCTCATATGCAACAGAAATGGCAGCGCTTATGAGTTAAACAATGCTGTGGTCGGTCGTGCCAGTGCGACTGCTCACAAAAATTAGTCGCACCGGCAGAAAAAAATTATCGCAAAATGTATCCATTTGGTCGCACTCTGGAGCCCTGTGCTGGACATTATTTATCCTCAGTTGTTCAAATCGTGGTAATCGAATACGGTTATATATACGCACGGCCAGGCCAACCACAGGTAACTAGGGTCAGCCGACGTCACAGTGCTAGCTTGAGGCAGCAAAACAAAGGGGAAACTGGAGCGGCCCATTCAAACCAGCGCAGATTTGGCTACATAAGGAGATTAAAATATCATTTTGTTGTGACGTTGGGTGCCAGAATCGACGTAATACAGCCTCAAATTAGAAATTTGATCGCATATCTGCTGCCACTGCCAGACAAAAAA